GCAATGTACACCAAGAAGACAGGAGGCCTGCACGGTTGGAGGGGAGGGAAGACATGGGCCGAGTAGGTGACGGGGCCCTTCAGGTTACTATATGGATGTACAGACTTTGGTTTTCATTTGCAATTCTTCTGCAGGTACTGGCTCAGGCCTTGCCTCCTCTGGGAAGCCTTCCTGAACCCCAAAATGGGTGGGGCACCCCTTCTGGGCCCCTGGGACTTCCTCTCTCAGAGACTGTGACATGCGGGCTGTAACCATGTCTCTGAGTGTCTGTGGTCCATCTCCTATATGTGGTCCTGAGCCCCCGCCCAGTGAGATGGGGAGGAGGGATGGTATTGCCTCGTTCACTTCACAACCTCTGAACCCCTGACCAGGCAACCCTCACCCTGACGACTTTAGACACTGAGCCAGGTTACTCAACCACGCCACTTTTTAAAAAAATAAACTTTTTATTGAAATATAAAGCACATACAGAGAAGGGCCCAGATCGTAATTTTCACAAACTGAGTACTCCAGAAGCCCCCTCGTGTCCCCTCGAAGTCCCTGCCCCCCAAGGGTGACCCCTGCCCTGACCTCTGACACAACGCCCAGGACGTGCCCAGGATGCTCTTGAGGCTCACGGGAATGGAAGGCACACGTGTAGGCTCGTGTGTGCGGCTTCCCCCACGCTCTGAGTCTGCAATTCACTCACGTGTGAGACAATGCTTTGTCCTTTGCTGTATACCTCTCTGTCACGTGCACACGCAGTTTACCCATTCTCCTGTCCAGAGCACCTGGGCTTGCCAGTTGTTGGCTGTTGTGAATAAGGCTACTGTGCACACTCTTGTCAGGTCTTTTTGGGGACGTATGTTTTCCTTTCTCATTTCTCTGGGGTGACGAGCCAGCACGGCGGTGCACGCACACGTTCAGCTTTTCTAGATACAGCTGGGGCTCTCCACAGTGGCTCGGCCACGGGGCACTCCCACCCTCGGTCGGGGAGAGTCACTGCGTCCTCGCCAGCACTGGGCACCGCCATTTCTTTGCAGGAGGAGGAGGGAAAGCGAGAACTTAGCGTTTATTGAGCACTTACTGTTTGCAAGGCACTGACGTGTATGAATCCGTATAGTCACCACAGCGACAGTGAGATCAGCGCAATCGTCATCGCCCCTTCTTAAACTCGAGGACAAGGCTCTCCAGGGGAAACTGCTGGCTCAAGTTCACAGGAGTCCAGCCGGGCCGTCTGACTCTAACACTCGCCACTGCCCGGCTGGCCCTGTGGAAGGGAGAAGAATACCTAATTTCTGACCTGCCTTATCTTCCCTGATGCCTTCCAGACCCCACCGCAGAGGAGACTCCAACCCCACCAGCTCCCCAGGCACCTGGAAGCCCCCTCATGCAGCCAAGCCAAGTCAGGGTTGCCCATGGGAAGGGATTAACTCAAATACATGTCTCGAGGCCCCACCTTGCAACCCTGACTCAACAGGCCAGGGGCGGAGGGCCCGGGAACGGGCATGTTAACAAGCCTCCGGGGGCAATCTGGTGTGCAGCCCTGTTGAGAGCCCTGGTGCGGGTGATGGGGAGCCAAGGAGGGGATTAGAGCAGGGAGGGACTTGAGGAGGAGAGATGCCCCTGGGTATTAGCCTCTAGAGTGACGGCTCTGGAGCCAGAATGCCTGGGCTCAAACCCTGACTCTGTTACTCACTGTCGAGTGACACCTCGCAGAGCTACAGTTTCCCCGTCTGCAAAATGGGCTGATATTAAAGGTGCCCCTCCTCACCTGCCTGGTCTGGCTGTGAGGACAGGCATCCTGGAAATGGAGTTTAGGGCATCAAGGAAGGGGTGCCAAGGGTGCCAGAGAAATGCAGACGATGGCGAGACCCCTGGGAGGCCTTCCCGGAGGTACCTGAGCTGAGAGTGGGCTGGGAAGGGAGAAGGCGGGGGCGGGGTGGGCGGTGACTGGTGTGACACAGATGCGGGAGTGTTGAGGGGTCTTCATCTTCCCGGGAGTGGGCTACCTGGCGTCAATAGCTGCGAACCCAGGATCAAAGACCTGGCTCTGCTCTATTCTTGCTCCATGACCTTGAGCCAGTCACACACCCTCTCTGGACCTCGGTCTCCTTAAAGGAGGATGATGCATCCCGCTGCTGAGTGTGGTGAGAAGGAGCAAGGAGGAGACGTGGACTCAGGCAGCCAGGGTTCAAGTCCCGTCTCCACACACACGTGTGCCCTTCATCTCTCAGAGCCTCCACCTCCTCATCTAAGGTTGGGAGTCTTGGAAGGTGAGCAGAGCCCACGGGCACAGATCCTCCATCACTGCCTCCCCTGGGGGTGGGGTCACGGCGCAGGGCTCTCCTTGCCGGCCCAGCCCCCAGGGTGAATCTGGGGTAACTGACCCCCCAAGAATGTTGAAATCAGATTAGAGGTCAGAGCATCCAATCCCTCTCCCATTTCCCAGATGGGAAAACTGAGGTCGAGAAAGGAGCTGTGGCTTGTCCAAGGCCACACAGTGTGCCCCTGGTTGCACCAAGGCGAGAACCCAGGCCTCCTGACTGTCACAGCTTTGTGCCTTGGTTTCCCCCATCTGGGCATTGGGCTGAGGAGGGTGGCACTGAGGCTTTGCATGGCCATGTGAACATCCAAAGGCGGGATTGGAGGAGTGGAGGGGCGTCTCTGGCATGCCTAGGGTTGGGCGTCAGCCACCCACGGATTACCCAGGAGTCTGTATCTGCCAGGCCTGTCTCAAGGCTGCCATTGTCCCAGAGCCAAGGAAATGATGGGTGATAGGATTAGGGCCAACGGTGAGGGACAAGGGGATGGCCCTGGCATCCGGGCCAAGGCGAGGGAGGGTCCTCCCTCCCTCCCCTGCAGCGTGGACGTGGGCCAGGCTGCAACAGGGCCGACCTGTTGGGGCCCCATAGGCTCCAGGAGCACCGGCCTCCGGAGCCAGCCTCCGAACACCCCACACCACCCACAGACACCTGTGTGCCCAGACACGGACTCCCCACCCTCACAGACCCACCCAGACCCCCCGCATACAAAGACTCACCCCCACAGAGACAAAGACATCTGACAGACGCACACACCAATACACGGACACACAGACACGGCCATCACCCCAACAGTTTCCAGGGCTGGCGCACCAACTGATCGTAGGAGGACCCGATGTACAGTTTTTTTTCAAAGTTATAAATTTTTTTTTTTTACATTCTAGCAAATGACAATGATTTTCAGGGTCCGCTTAGAATACATTTATTTTAAAACGTATTTCTAACTTTACTATATATAAACATACATTTACTTTTGTTTATTTTTATTTATTTATTTTTAATTGAAATAGATTTGATGTATAACCTTGTGTAAATTTAAGGTATACAACGTTTACTTTTTTTTTT